GGGTTGAAATAGATGTCCTATTTAGGGATGAGTCTTCAACAGTCCCTTACTCCCACCATTTGACTATGAGTCATTGCATTAACTATTGCCCATGACAGAAAAAGCTTCTCTGGCCAAGGTTGGTACTAATCTATATACCCCCTAGCTATGTTGTTCTTTTGGATGTTATTGTAAGTGGAATTTGTTTTCTATATTTCTTTTCATTGCTAGTGTAGAGAAATACAAACACTAGTTTTTCTTGGGGTTTTGTTTTTGTTTGTTGAGACAGTTTCTCTTTTCGTAGCCCTGGGATCCTGGAGCTCACTATGAAGACTAGGCTGGCTTTGAACTCAAGGATATTCACTTGCCTTTGCCTCTGAGTGCTGAGATTAAAGTCATGAGCCACCACACTCAGCAAAACTGGGTGTATAACCTCATAGTATTGTTCGATTCAGTTTGTTAATATTTTGTTAAGTATTTTTCCACATTTAGTCCAGAAGTGACTTTCAACCTATAGGTCACAACCATTGGAACACACATATTTCCAATGGTCTTAGGAACACCCAACCATAAATTTATTTTTGTTGCTACTTCATAACTGTAATTTTGCTACTGAACAGTATCTCAGTTCCTAAGACCTTTGGAAATATGTGTTTTCCAAAGGTCAAAGCCCACAGGTTGAGAACCACTGGAGAGTTAGGATTTTTGTTTGTTTGTTTGTTTTTCTCTTTCCTTACTTTTCTTCCCTGATGTTCTTGGCCTTGTTAAATTATTGACTTAAGATCTTCCTTCTTTCTTACTGTGAGCATTTATAGCTATAGATGCTCCTCTGCTCTGTGCTTTTGCTGTATCCCTAGGCTTTAGCCTGGTGCTTTCATGTCCACAGCACTCAGGGTACAGTATAAACCCACTCTGGTTTCCTAAGTCCATTAACTGTTTTAGACAATGAAGTCTACCGTCCATATTATTTGTGCATTGTTTTTGTTTTTCTTTCTGTTTTGATTTCTGATTTTAATACATGGTAGTCAAAGACGAGTTTTTCTATTATTTAAGACTTTTAGAAGTTTTTGAAATTTGCTTTGTGTCCTCACAAATTTGCTTTGTGTCTTCAGTCTGTCTTGGAGAATGATCCAAGAATCATTCAGGACATCTCAGACCAATTTGTCTTATAACTTTGAGATCAAGGTATTTGAAGTGTCTAAATATCATCCTTTACCTATAAATCTCTTAAGCCTCATTCTTGCTTACCTTGATGGCAGAAGAGACCCCCTCCATTCAAAACTGACACCACGCTTGTGTTCCTGTCCCCACTTGGGCTTCCTCCTCAGAAACAGCCCTGTGTTTTATCCATTCCTTTCCATCATACCTTTAACACCCTTCTCCATGCACTGTTCCCTTTTCTCTAAGTTTACCAAGGGTTCTTGTTATCCTAATGACCACCTTTCCTTCATCCCATATCCACCTAAAAGGTCTGCTCTGTTTCTCTTCCTCCTTTGGTACACTCGCTCGGTAAATCAGTCTCTACTTTCTTTCACTCTGAATTCATTGCCTGGGAAATAAAACATCCCACTGTATTCTTTTGGCTATGAACAGACCTAAGACTTCTAAGTTAGAAACACCAGGGTTTCTTGTGACTTTTGGTTCCTTTTCAGAGCTATCTTCGGCCTGCCCATGCCTTATCCTTCCTGAAACATTGTTTTCCGTATACTTTTCTACTTGTCCAAAGCACATTTACTAATACTTTACAAAGTCAATTCTCACTGTTCAAGTGACCCACTAAGACTTTCTGCATTCTAATTTCAGTCTGAATAGCTTTCATTGAATACTCTGAAGCAACTTCTGGAGAAATAAGAAGCTAAGCCAGACATTATTCATGTTCCCAGAACATGTCATCCATTGGGTGAAACATAAAAAGTATGGGATAATGTTCCCTGGTTTGATATCACCAGAGAATATCAGCACCCTCTCCCTAGTCCAAGTGGTCCTCCAGTGGTTCGTAGAGTGCCAAAGGGATGCTTTCTATGCATCCTCTCCCGCCAACATGCCAAGTAGCCTGCCACAGTCAGAGCCACCATGAAGTGTCTTTCCAAGTTCTACTCTTCTATTCTGACTCTACTCTTCCATACTTACTGCCAGCAGAGTACGTGGATGTCCCAGAACATTAGTATTCATACCAAAGGTGTTGGCACAGAGTGATTAAAAACATCTGCGCCCAATCCAGGAAAAAAAAAAATTCTGTGTTTCCTCTGGGCCAATCTACCATCACCTGGTGGTCTTTTGGATATGCTCAGTGACTTCTGATCTTCATGTATTATAAGCTTGTTGACTCAAATCTGGTTTTAGACCTGCAGGGAACTGCTACTGTTCCTTCTGTCCATACACCTCTCTGTCTTCAACACAACTCCCTTCTCCTCCCCCTGTACCAGTGAAAATGCCCACAAATCAAAGCAGAGGCAAACAGGTATTTCAGCAATCTTTCAAAGCAAAGTAACAACTTACCATGTAGAAATGAAGGGGAAAGTATTTCAAACAGAAGTGACATAGTACAAAGACAGCAGAATCATCAAGGAAATTTACAAATCGCTGAGCAATGGGAAAGTCCCTGTTGTTATTCAAAATCTTCCTACAACATCTTGTTTTTCAGCTTCTTCCTTCATAACTGTCCCTGGTCCATCATTCACTATTTGTGCTTCCACAGAGCACAGACATACCTCCATCAATTCATTATTTGTTGACTTGAAACTGTGCTAAAGCAGTAAGAGTACACAGGAAACAACGTAGGTGGTATAAGAGTGGTACTAAGACAATACAGAGGCAAACCTAATGCCAAGTCAACGCCTACCCACCACACCATAGCTACTCATTCACCTGTCAGTCTTCTCTGTCAGATAGCAAACCAGCGAATCAGGACTATCTTGTTCATACATATAACATATATATTTCCCAGATCCAGACCAGAAGCAGACATATGAAGGGAAATCAATAATATAGTCTGGATGCCATGATTTCTAAATTTCCACCCATTAAATTAGCACAGAACTAAGTAAATCATAGAATGCATTTGACTAAATGCTCTTTGACTAAACTAATAATCCAGGCATGGTGACACATGCCTGTAATCCTAGGCCTTGGGAGTCTAAGGCAGAGGATTGCCAGTTTGAGGCTAGCCTGGGCTACATATAAGACCTTGCCTCAAAACCACAACCACAAAAAAATCGAATAATTTTGATCAATAAAATCAAGAGAACTTAAAGAATATGCTAGGCAGTTGGAGGAAGAGTCCCTGCTAAGTCTTAGGATTTCTGACAGTACAGACCTGTCTTACTTGGTTTTAATTTGAAATAAGCAAAATACTACTTGAGGGAGCATTTTGGTCTCAAGACTTTGCTTGTTATACTTTACTCATGTGATTCTGAGAGGACAGAGAGGTCAAGATGACAAATGGCCATGTGTCGAAAGGCTGATGGGAAACACAGCGCAGGAGGGGATGTGTGGCAGCAATACAGATGTGCCTGGAAACCGTATGGCAATTCAGGAAAAAAAAAAAAAAAAAAGCAGAAGCGTGAGCTGGTGTAAGGGCTGAGTAAGTGTCAGGATCCTCTGGGCCACCCCATAAATACACACACACATGCAACTCTTCCCTAGAAAATTAGAGGCACACACCCCTTCCCCTCGCCCCCAGGAAAGCTGATGTCACAATCAGGTTTATTTGTTGACTGATAGCAAACATTTCCACAGATCCTATCATGTGTCAAATACGGTGCTGGAATATGAGAGTAATCACTGTGAGACCAGCAAGCAGAGCTCTAGAAAACAGAGTAATGCGGGCTAAGAATTTGGCATTACTATGAACATAGTTGAGCAAGTGTCCTTGGGATTGGTATGCATGCATGTGTGTGACAATCGTGTAGCTTGTCTCTTAGTGAGGCTTCTAACAGTGAGAGCAGGACCTCTCCCGGGCACTTACTTGCTTTTGGTAATCTGTTCCCATGTTGAATTACCTGGCTGACGGACTTTAGGAGAGGAGCTCGATCCTGCCTCACTTGATGTGCCATGCTTTGTGCAAGCCCATGAGAGGCCTGTCCCTTTCTGAATGGAGATGGAGGAGGAGTGGATGGGGGAGAGGGGGAGTTGGGAAAGGGGAGGGGACAGGAGGAGAGGAAGAAAGGGAAACTGGTTGGTATGTAAAATAAATGAAAAAATGTTATTTCAACAAAAAAATTTTTAAAGAATTTGGCATTGATTCTAAAGAAACATCCTCTTTAAGAGTTGTAAGTGATAACCCAGCAGTTAAGAGCATGGACTGCTCTCTCAGAGAACTCTGGTTTGATTCTCAGCACCAACATGACAGCTCAAAACTGTCTGAAACTCCAGTTCCAGGAAGTCCAACTCCTTTTCCTGGCTCTGCTATTTTTCAGATGTACAACCAAGGAAAGTTAGTTTAACCTCTCTATGTCTCAGTCTCCTTATCCATAAACAGATTTTTTTATCTGCCTCAAAGACAGTTACCAACATCAAATGAAATAATGCAGGCAATGAACTGCATATGCAGTAAATCCCTACTATCGGCTCTCTGGGTTGCAAAAGCATGCTACATAGACAGACACTAGGTAAATTATAAATGACTGGCTTGACAATACTGCCATCAGCAAAGACTTGCGATTGTTGGAGCTTATGTCAAGGGGTTAATAAAGTTCCTTATCCCTCTCACAGATTGGTGCCAAAAAATTTCAAAGACTGAGGTCACAAAAGTATGACAAGCCAGAGTGGAAGCAGACCATGGGTCGGGATCACCTAACTAGACCAATTGCCTATTGACCAAGACTGCCAGACTTTGCTGGAGGTGGAGCTACTGGGTGTGTAAATGCCCACCACAACACTTCTAGCCCTTTTTTATTCCCTCCACCACACCTCTGGCTTTCTTCCAAAGAGCTTAAACAGAATGGCAGAATTAAGAGAAAGGATACAGGAATGGAAGGTTAGCGGGACAACTTTATAGCCTTCTCCTTCTGCGTTTACAGGGAATGAAGTTCCACAAAGCAGTCAAAGCCCAAGGGTGGTGAATGGTGTTCTAGGAGAGTCAGCAACTCTTCTTCTGGAGCTTCCTGCAGGAAAGGAGGCCAGTCTCATCATCTGGCATCACAAAGGAGAAGCATCACAAGACACTACGATCCTTATCGTCCAGCTCAATAAGTCTAAAACTCCACGAATCATCGAATCTGATCCAAAGAGGGGAGAGCGACTGAGCATCATCCAGTCCTACTCCCTGCAAGTCAACAACCTCACAATGGCAGATGCAGGACTGTACAGAGCACAGATAACCACAAAAGACCCTACACCGGACTTCTCTATTTATAAACTGAGGGTCTTTGGTGAGTCCAAATACATCATTTAATCACATACAAACTGAAAACAAATCCAAATCACGTATGTCAACGCTACGTACCAACAACAGTGCAGTGTAGCCTAGTGATACCAAGGATGGCGTTTGGCATCACCATGAGGTCCAGAAGTAGAACAGTTTGATGACACTGCACAGCTAAATAGCAGCTGGGCTGAGTTAGAAACTTACATCTTGTGGCTCTCTTCACCAGTCACCTCACTTCCCCTTTCAACCAGAAATGAAGAGTTAATGGAAGCAAAATACTGAACTACCACAGGCAGTGAGATGGCTCAGTAGGTAAAGGTGATTGCTACCAAGCCTGACGACCTGAGTCTGATTTCCAGGGCCCAGGTGGAAGGAGAGAATGAACTCCTACAAGCTGTCATCCGACCTCTCTATGCACTCATGTACACAGACACACACAGACACACAGAGAGAGAAAGAGACAGAGAGACAGACAGAGAAACAAAAGTAAATAGTTAATTTAACTAAATTATTAGCTGGTCATGATGGTATACACCTTTAATCCCAGCACTCTCCTGGGGCAGAGGCAGGTGGATCTCTGTGAGTTCAAGGCCAGACTAGTGAATTCCAGGACAGCCAGGGGCCTACGTACAGAGAGCCTGTCTCAAAACAAAACAAAACAAAAAACCAAAAAATAAATTAAAATTAAATGTTATTACATTTTTAAAAATAAATATGTGAATTGGGTTCCATACTAGACAACTTTAAAGACCACTCAGACTCTGTAATTTCTATTCACTGAAGAGTCCTCAAGGTCTAAAATTCATTTATACTCCTATGGCTTAAGATGTGGAATTCTTTTAAAAGGCACCATTAAAATAAAATGTCTCCACAAATTGGTTACCCTGTTACCTTTATATTCCCCGCATATTTGATGACTTTGCCTTGTCATGCTAGTCAAAGTCATATCACTGAAAGAACATAACACAGAACAAGTAAATAGGACTGCTATAAAAAGGGTGTCTGGAAATTTTCTGAGCAGAGGATTCCACAAAAAAGGGGGCCAGGTAGCCTCAGAAAAATGTATTTGCTTCCTGAAGTAGCCAAAACAAAATTTCACAAGTTTCATGACCTAAATAACATAAATCTACTCTTGTGAAGTTCTAGGTATGAACAGAAGGCCATTCTGCTCTTTGTGTCGCTGCTTCTGATTATTATAGATTCCTTGGTGTTCTTTGGCCACCTCTTTATGTCCTGTCTTCTGTCTGTCTCCAATGTCCCTTGGCTCACCTCTTAGCTAGACACTTGTCATTGGAAAGTCAGGGGTGACCTTCTCAACTAGTTTATAGAAAATTTGCACAGACCCCTTATTCAAGTAAGATAGCATGAGTCTGGAATTAAGATGTGGGTGTCTCTTTAGGGCTGTCCTCATTCCAGACATTCCAGTCAGGATCACCTGGCTGGTTTGTGATCTTCAAAGCACTACCAGATTTCTGAAGAGAACTGAGATGCATGCAACAGAACCCCTGAGAATAGATGCTGCCTGCCAGGCTCTATCACATGTCCTGGGACACCGTTCTTCTGACACTGTTCAGGACACCATGGCTTCTACAGCAACCAGGCTCCTTACACTTATTGATAACCCATATTCAGGGCTGCTTGGAGCACCTTCCCTTCACAGACTCATACACACAAAGATATGTGAGCTGTGCCCCAACCTTTTCCTCACCAGTAGAAAGGAATTTCCAAGGATGAAATACAGTTTTTGTTCCTCAGACACTGACCATACACTCTGTGTTAAGAAAGAGATAATAATCCAGGCATTGGAGGCGCACTCCTTTAATCCCAGCACTTGGGAGGCAGAGGCAGGCAGGTCTATGTGAGTTCAAGGCAAGCATGGTCTACAGAGAGTTCCAGGACAACTTCCAAAGCAATACAGAGAAACTCTGTCTCGAAAAACCAAAAAGTAAAAAATTAAAAGAAAAGACAGAGATAATCAAAATTTGATAATTTCCAATTAATCGGGAGTAACCCACTAGAGTTTAGTATTGGATATGAAGACATGTTATACCTATTCATTGAATAACAAGATTTATTGCCATGGATAATGTACAAGGCAGTCTGCTATGCAACTAGAAAACATCAGTGAGCAAAACAAAGGCTGTTGCCCTCATGAAACTTACAGTATGCCGTGAGTGCTAAGGAAAAAAGGATTGGAGCATCAGCAGTGCCAGGGAATGGGGCAGAAAACATGGTGCTGGGGACCAAAAATAGGCTCTTGAGCAAGCTAGGAAAGTGCTCTGTCTATCACTTAATGTACACCAGGCCCAAGGAATCATTTTAGAGGAAGCGATCAGAATAGGCCTCATTGAAAACATGACCTGACGTTTGAGTCGACATCTATTAGTGTTAAGAGAATAGATACGCAGATATCTGGAGGAAGAGCCACCCAGAACAGATAACAAAGTTCGTGTGTGCTCAAAGAGCATCCCTCAAGAAGACTTGACATCAGTCCTCAGGATCCATATAGACATCTGGAAATGGTGACAAACATCTGTAATCCCAGCTCTAGGGAGGAAGCTACAGGAAAACCCCTGGAGCTTGTTGAGCAGCTATGCTTGACCAACTGGTAAGCTCCGGGTTGAATGAGAGACCCTGTCCCAAAATATAAGGCAGAGAATGACAGAGGGAGACATGCTGCATCAGCCTCTAACCTCCACATGCATGTGAGCATGAACACACACACACACATGCATACGCTAGCATATGCACACACCGAAAGAAAAGGCAGGAAGGTAGGATGATGAGCAAAGCCATGTGTAGCAGACTTTGGGGGGGGCCACCAACCAGCTCCCAAATCATGACTTGGAGACTGATTAGTAATTATGAATGCTCAGCCTTATCCTATACTTGTCCCGCTCTGGTAACTTACATTTTGCCTCAGGGCTTTTAACCTTTCTTTCCTTCTGTACATCTTGCATCTATATATACTTCTTGTATCTAGCCTACTGGCAGTTGCCAGACTAACTGACTCTGCGAATCTCCCTCATTCTCTTTTCTCTTCTCTCTCCTCTGTCAAGCCTAGATTTTTTTTCCTCCTCCTTAGTCTCTCAGCCTGCCAGCCCCACCTATCCCTCTCCTGCCTACCTATTGGCTGTTCAGTTTTTTTATTAGACCAATTGGGTGCCTTAGTCAGGCAAGGTGAAACAAATGCAACACATCTTTACATCATTAAACAAATGTAGCACAAACAAATATAATACATCTTTACGCCGTCAGCAAAGGCAGCAGAAACAAATGGAGCACGCCTTCCCATAGTTAAAGTCATAGTCCACAGCAGAAACAAATGGAGCACATCTTTGCCTAGTTAAGCTATTTCACAACAATCATGTGTCCTGGTTTGTTTGTTTGTTTGTTTGTTTTTAATGTGCATTGGTGTTTTGCCTGCATGCGTGTCTATGTGAGAGTGTTGGATCCTAGAGTTACAATCAGTTGTGAGCTGCCATGTGAGTGCTAGGAATTGAATCAGGACCTCTGGAAGGGCAGTCAGTGCTCTTAACCACTGAGCCACCTCTCCAGCCCCAGCCATGTGTTCTTAACTACAGTCTTTTTACACAGAACGACTGAGCAACTTGGAAATTACCAATCATACTCGCCTATTTGAGAATGGGACCTGCGAGATCCACCTGACCTGTATTGCGGAGAATCCAAATCAAACAGTCTCAGTTGGGTGGAGGACCTCAGGAAGCATCTCTTTAGGGGAACCAAATCTCACTGTCTCCTGGGACCCGAAGAATTCCAATGACCAGAGTTACACCTGCCAAGCTGAGAATGCTGTCAGCAATCTGTCTGTCTCTGTCTCTGCCCAGAGTCTTTGTAAAGGTAACTCCTGCCTTGGGTCTTCCTGGAAGCTTCAAGCAGCTGTGTAGTGTTATAGCATGGAGTCACAGCCTGTGTGAGGGCCTGCACAGTGGCAATGGGAGGAGCCAAACTCCTGCAGAGAGAAGGACAGGCAGGCTCTAAAACTATGCCTCTCATTAGTCTCCCTCTTTCCCTCCTCAAGTCCTCTTCCTAGAGCAAAGCCTCAGGAGCCAGAATGGCTTTCTCCCTCCCCCAAGCAGACCCTACCTGTCCTGCCTCCACAAGGGACCCCAGAAAGCCTGACAGGGCCCCAAACTGGGAGTATAAATGGCCTTACCCAGCCCCTGAAGGCAGCCCAGAAGAGACTCAAGAGAGGCCTAAAACAAGTTCAAAGGAGCCCTCAATGTTTTTAAAGATTTTATTTATTATGTATACAACATTCTGTTTCCATGTATATCTGCACACCAGAAGAGGGCACCAGATCTCATAACCGATGTGGTTGCTGGGAATTGAACTCAGGACCTCTGGAAGAAAGGGCAGTGCTCTTAACCTCTGAGCCACCTCTCCAGCCCAGGAACCCTCAATTTATGTATCCTGAGAAGTTCCTCTTCTCTTTTTTTCCTTCTTCTTTTCAGGTGTTTTACCTGAGAAAAATCTACAGTGGCATCAAACATTTATAATTATTGGTACCTTGCTGGCTATAGTCGTTGTGTGCCTAGTCATATGTCTTTGGAAGAAAAGAACAGGTAAATTTTCCTTCTGCCTTCTTCTATCTCTAGAACCGCAAGTGTTTAGGGTCTGGGGCCTCTGGCTGCCAAGGGCCAAGGGAGGGTGGACACAATCTCTGGCTAAATGAATGCATTGGGATGACCCCCTGGGGTGGGGCAGGCTTCTGTTAATATTTCAAGAGTGGTGTCTATTGAGAAAAGCAGGACACAGCTTCAGGGTACACTTGCTCAGCTGCCCTTCATTTGGGACCTGTTACCTGTATCCTCTGGAAAGCCACCTGTTGGGGGAGGAGGGAGAAAGACTTCCCTCACTGAAGTCATGCATTTCAGCTTCTTGCTTTTCTCTTTCAGGTTCTCTTTTTTTGGCTAGCCAACATCCAGGTGAGCATCCATGCTCTTGATTACAGCAGACAGGAAGGGATAAACCAAAGAGGAGAGAGAGAGGGGGGCTGGCCAGAGGGCTGAACAGTGAGAAGGAGAGAAAGCAGAACATGGCTGTTCAGCTGGACCCTATGGTGTCAGAGAGCCTGGTTTGTCACCATGAGACCTGTAGAGTTCCTCCCAAGCATGTAAGGGGCACCACGGTTTTCTATAGCAAGGTCAAGATCACTTACTTCCTTTCTGAGGGAGAAAATAAGTCCCAGTGAAAGGATCCATGAACCATCCACTGTCACCCAGCTGGTTTCGAACAGAGATAGGACTTGAGCATGAAGCACTCAAAACCAGGCTCCGTGACTGTACCATGGATGTTCAGCCAAGGTTTAAACCCCAATAGATAGACACCATTGAAAAAGAAGGTGTGATAAAGAGAGGCTAATGCACACTCATTTTCTAAGTCTCACCCGGTGGGTGATAGTTTCAAGATACCATTGTTGAAGAGAGGGCACAAAGTCAGGGGTCAGAACACTTGCTTTCCAATTCCTGTCCCACTGCTTCCTGAGTGGCTTTGTATAGGTCTACTGAGCTCTCTTGAACCTGTAATTCTTCATCTCTAAAACAGTCAAATCTGTCACACTGCCTGTGAAAACGGTGTCTCCAGAGATCCCTTGGGTGGTGGTGATCTTTAGTCCATCATGTGTTGAGCATGAGGGAGTCACTGAGACTGTAAGTCATAAGAACACCGTTCTTATGAACAAGCTTGAAACAACTGCTTTGGAGATAAAAACAAAACAAAACAAAACTCTAGAGATCAGCAAGACGCAAGAGGGAAGCAGCCCTGTAGTCCCACCACTGATAGCCATACCTTTTTTGTGTTAACCATAGATTCCTCCCAGAACACAGATACTCCAGGCTCTCCAGGGAGCAACACTGTGTATGCACAGGTCACTCATCCAGTGCAGGTAAGTCCTTTCCACTCTGTCCCCCACCACTGTTATTTTACGATTACTCACAAACTTGTCACCATAATCATCCATTATTGGAGAAGGCAGCCATAGAGCTGAGCATCCCAGTGTCGGCTATGATCACCCCTAAGGGAATGTTCACTCTTACTTGATTCCTAGTGTTCTTTAACTGTTTAATGTTCCAGTAGATCTTATCCTTTCTGGGTAGGGACAACCTGCTTGAAAGTACAAATTAGATATCCTCCCTTTCCCTTACTTCATGTAGCATGACACTCAATGAACACAGGAATAGATCAGAGGAGATTATACCTAGGAGGAGCTGTCATCCAGGTAGAGGGGTGCTAGGAGACCCTAAAGTGGTCTCTCAAAAGACAAGGGGGGCAAGTATCATAACCCCTCCACAATGAAGGAAACTAAAGCAAGGGGCTCCCACATAATACGATGGCCTTGGTCAAGCTCCAGGCAATCCTCTTTCCCACCACCTATGATTGAGACAATACTGGGGACACTTTTCTGAATAACTAAACAGACTGGAGAGCTGGTTCTCGTGTTTTCTGAAAAATCAGCCAAAAGAACATGGCATTCTTCAAATGGCCCAGCTAAAAGTCTTGGATTCCCCAAGCAAACACTCCTGGCCAAGCTCATCACAGACTTTGTGAAGTTCCTAAAAGAGAAGACAATAAAGGGTATTCACACCACTTACTCAATTGCCATTCCCAACTCCCGCTGGGAGCAAGCTCTCCAACAAACCCAAAACACTAATGGCTAGCCCATTTGTCAGCTTCTTTAAAAAAAAAAAAAAAAAAAAAAGCATTATACCTTGGAGAGTTTCTAGGGCCTTAATTATTCTCTAAATATTAAAACCAGGAGTTTCTATACTTCTAGTTCCCAACCATGACCACAAAGCAGTGACTGGGCCATTAGAATAACAGGGATAAATGGAGCAGGCAATGAAGATGGCTCCAGTTATAGCTAACAAAGACTGGGAGAAAAGATACGATGCAATAACTATCTGGCATGTAATTCTCACAGACAGAGGAGAAGCAAGCATAGAATCAGATGCAAGACAAGGATGTTTTCAGCCCCTCACACATGGCCACCTTTCTGTTGCTCTCTAGTTGGGACCTTGGGATTGACGGGATGTTGCTCTTCTATTTAGGCTGCCTTTCTACTTCTCAAGAAATGTTGCTAGAACCTCACAGATTTAAACTGGTAGAACTAAGTCCCCACCTACTCTTGGCATGCCACTTCTTTCTCATCACACTGTCTCCCCCACAAAAATATATGCATGCACGTACCTCTTTTGTCTCTGTGAGAGCCAAATGCATAAAATTCTTTTTTTGTTGTTCTTTACAGGAAATGGAAATCCCAAAATCTATAAAAAATGATTCTATGACAATTTACTCCATAGTTAATCATTCCAGAGAGGTAAATGCATGACTGTTCTATCTTCTTTTATTTTGTATGAGTGAATGAATATGTGTCTAATGTATGCCTGTGGTTTGTGCTTATGTGTGTGAAGATGGGAACCGCCCCATCAGTCCCCTCCCCTACCATTCTCTATCTTACTCCATTAAACGGTGCCTCTCACTGAACCCAAAGCTAAACCTGTGGCCAGAAAGCCCAAACAATCTCCCTGCCTCTGTGTCCCTTAAAGTGCTGGCATTACAAGCATATGCACAGCTTTTTACATGGGGAATGGAGATTTGAACTCAAATTCTCATCTTGCTCAGCAACCATGTTCTTGCCAGCCCCTATGTCCTTGTATTTTTTTTTTCTACTCCTCTCCCAAACCTACAATTTTGCAAATAAAACAAAAGGTCCATTTTACAGATATTTAAATACCACTAGAAAAAAAAAGAAAGTCTTGGGACAAAATATAAAAAGTTATCTTGAGGCTGGTGAGATAACTCAGTGGGTAAAGGGCAATTTTCACCAAGCCTAATGACTTGAGTTCAATCCCCAGGACCCACACTGTAGGAGAGCACTCCCACAAGTTGTTCTCTGTTTGTATGTACATACATACATACATACATACACATACAATCATACATACACAAACATACACAAACACAATAAATAAATAAAGTGATGAAATTTTAAATTATCTTGTTTTAAGATCACCTATTATAGTTAACCTACTTGTTTTTTAATGTAATCCTACTTGAGGCTGTCAATAGCGCTACTCTCTGGCCAGCAGGGCTTTCATGTCCTCTCTGTAGCCATGGAGGGTAGGCTACGGCCTATCTACTAACCTACTTCTTTCTCTCCTCATAAAACAAGCCCATTGCTCCCAGGATCAATACTCTTAAGGACATCAAGTAAGTTGGTGGAGGACTTTAAAGGAATTCAGAAAGAACACATCTACTGACCCCTCGGAAGTGAACAGAGAAGCCTGGTTTTCTACTGGCAATGAAATCTGGATATCCAGGGTTATCATGTCAAACTTGATCCTGCATGCATGGGTCAGATGCTTGACGAGTAGCAAGGTCTCCAATGTGGAACCCCAAAACTGCTTTCCAGTCCACTCCAGGACAAATCCTGCTTTGGATAACACACCTACATGTTGTTTTCTCTTTGGTAACTAAACAGAGTTTTGACCAACAGATTATAATTCTGCAGGTAACGATGTCTCTCCTTCTAGAAGGCAAGTGAGATGTAATTGGTTGGAGAGAGAATGTGACTTTTGGGTTAAGTATGTGGTGTCTGGTGTTGGATGGGCCCACACTCTACAAATCATTGACTAGACAGGTCTCCTGGGATGTTTCCTATTGTTATTGGCACTTGAATCTCATAGCCAAAAATAATAACAGGATAGCAAGGAATTGATGTCATCCCTGATTGCAGCCTCTCTATCACCAAGCCCTTCAGCCTCTACTTCCAAAATATATTAAACATTATCTATCTCTTTCCAACTTGTAGACCATGGCTCTAGGTGCAACCCTCCCCATCTGGAACCTGAATACTCCAACAACCTCTAAACATCTCTTCTAGTTTTTCTCTTGTCTCCCTGAAGCCCACCACCCAAAAGACCACCAGCAAAATATCCCTAGTATAGATCAGCCCTTTCTCTCACCTGCTCATAACCGTACAGACTCCTCATTGCATTCCGTGTGAAAGCCAGTCTCCATGGCCCAGGATGGTCTGACAGACAGTTCCCCAGACTCTGCTAGCATCACTCTCTCCATTCTCTATTTGGCCTCTGTGATCCCTCAGTTCCTCTATGAGAGAAGAACAATCTCCATATTACAGTTATTTACATCTGCCTCAAGGCCCTTCCTGTCCCTGTAGGTTCCTCCTATCTTCAGAAGCTAAAGTGTTTAAGTAGATATCTAAAGATAGGTGGTGGCGCACACCTTTAATCCCAGCACTCAGGAGGAAGAGGAAGTCGGATCTCTGTGAGTTCCAGACCAGCCTGGTCTACAGAGCGAGTTCCAGGACAGCCTCCAAAGCCACAGAGAAACCCTTTCTCAAAAAAACAAAACAAAACAAAAAAAAAAAACACTTTAGCTTCTGAAGAGATCTTCCCAGAGCACTCTACCTGAAGTAGGTTTCTTTATCATTCTCTTAAACCTTTCATACTGTTTATCATGTCATTGAATATTTATTTTTATTTTTAATATCTGTTTCCCTCATTAGAACATAAATTAGTGGGATCAGAGACAATAATTATTTTATTGATAGTACATTGTGTTAATTAATTACACTGTGTTAATTAATACCTAGCACATTATAAGTGTTACAGCAATATTTTAATAAATGAATGCATATGTAATGGGTTTGTGTGGAAATTAAATAAGATAATACAGTTGGCTCTGAAACTGTGGGTCAACTTCTCTGTATTCTATCAACTACAAACTGAAATATTTGAGAAAGAATTATATCTATACTAGGTATATACATACTTTTTCTTATTACTCCCTTGAGTTAGATATAGGTTCTATACTATTCCATTTTATATGAGGAATTGGCATCTAGGGATAGCCTAGAGCCATCTCCCAGGAATACCAAGGGATGACTGTAAAGCTAAAGCCCTTAGCATAGTGCCTAACACATTAAAAAGTTCAAGAAATGTCAGGTCTAACTTCTAGTTTTGCCTGGTGCCATCTGGTAGGCACTCCTAGAATCCCAATGCTTGGGAAGTAGACTCAAGAAGATTAATGTTGTCCTCAGCTATACAGAAAGTTCAAGACCAGCCTGGGCTACATGAAACCTTGTCTCAAAAAAAATGATCTTATCACAGATGTTATCATCACTATTAAGTTTTATTCTCCTGAAGTCATAGAATCTTCTTGAATAGCTTCAGCACCTAAGGCCTTGAACTTAGAGTTCAAGGCCAGCCTAGGCTACATAGGAAGTTCCATGACCATCTAAGCTCCATAGCAAGACTCTGTCACAAAAAGTAAAATAAGATAAATAAAAAAAGAGAAAGTATACTACTTGACTACATTCATGCGATTTCTTGCCTTTACTCGTTTCCCTTTCTATTCTTTTTACCCATGTGAAAAACAATGCTCCTCTGTCCTTGAGTAGGATTTTTAGTTCGAGAAATAGGCTTTTAATAATTATTTTAGTATATTTCATTTTTTTCTCAAAAAATAATACATGTGCTTATTGTGAATAATTGGCATACTCCAAAACAAAACTTCTCTACAATGTCCAAGATAGCTACCATTAATAATCCTATTTTAAAATAGTACCATTTTTACCAAAATGAAATATTTTCATAATTTTGTCTTGGTTCTTTGTTTTTGGTTTTTGTTTTTCATTTGTTTTGACTTGTTATATTTTTACTTAGCAATATCCCTTAAATAACTTTCTTAGATCAGAATATATAATCCTACTAACAGTCATCTTTGCTCTTACTCTTTTTTTTCAATTTTATAAACTAATAGTTGAAAGTCAAGCAATGATTTGAAATGCATTTTAAAACTAGGTAAAGGATTTTATTTTATGTTCTCTACACTCATATTTCCCATACACACACACACACACACACACACACACACACACACACACACACACACACACACACCACAGTATCTCTTGATTTCCTATTAATTGCTAAGATACTTCCCTGCCTCATCTTTCTAATTTAAATAAATGTCAACTTTGAATAAATACAAACAGATTCAATGACTTTATCATTATGGCCATATTTTTTTCTTATGACAGAAACACTTTATTGCCTGTGTTCTCAAGGCATTCTAATAGACAACACTCGGTTTCATTCACATAAAACTTAGACCTTCACATTCAATTTTATATCCTCCTGGCTTTTCCACAAGGAGTATTTTATCTTAAGTTCCCTTAAATGAACAAGATAACTTATATTGCTATACCACACAATTGAACATTATACATTTGAAAAGAGAGACAATTTTTCACAGAAGTATATAATGCTGGAAATTCAACTGGTGCCCTGTGCCCAAGCCTATTAAGATTAAAGGCATATGGCTTATCTTGGACTTTTTTTCCCCTCCATTTTTTTTATTTAAAATTAGAAACAAGATTGTTTTACATGTCAATTCCAGTTCCCTCTCCCTCCCCTCCTCCCCTGCCCCCCACTAACACCCTACCTATCCCATACCCTTTCTGCTCCCCAGGGAGGATGAGGACTTCCATAGGGAGTCTTCAGAATCTGTCATAGGCTTTGGGATAGGGCCTAGGCCCTCCCCCATGTGTCTAGGCTGAGGTAGTATCCCTCTATGTGAAATGGGCTCCCAAAGTCCATTTGTATGCTAGGGATAAGTACTGATCTTCTACAAGAGGTCCCATAGATTTCCGAGGCCTCTTCACTGACACCCACATTCATAGGGTCTGGATCAGTTCCATGCTGGTTTCCCAGCGATCAGTCTAGGGACCAAGAGCTCCCACTTGTTCAGGTCAGCTGTTTCTGTGGGTTTCACCAGCCTGGTGTGGACCCCTTTGCTCATCACTCCTCCTTCTCTGCCAATGGATTCCAGTTCAGTTCAGTGTTTAGCTGTGGGTATCTGCTTCTACTTCCACCAGTTGCTGGATGAGGGCTATAGGATGGCATACAAGTCAGTCATCAATCTCATTACCAGGGGAGGGCATTTAAGGTAGCCTCTCCTCTGTTGCTTAGATGGTTAGTTGGTGTCATCCTTGTAGATCTCTGGAGTTTCCCTAGTGCCTGATTCCTCTCTAAATCTATACTGTATGGCCATATGTTTTTAAAAAATGGCTAGTTACTGATGTGATAAGTGATTTGATTACATTTCCTTTGTCACATAATTTTTTGTTTTGTTTTGTTTTTCTTAAGAGTTAATAGTTGCCTTATTTTTTGTTGCTTGGTTTTCATTAGACTTTCATCTTCTTAAATCCTCCTCAACTATATAAAATGACTCTCAATGTACTCTCAACCTAGTTAAGTCTGTTAACTAAGCTATAAGTTTATACTGTTTTAAAGCACCCTCCTGGAGCATATGGCCTTTTACTCCATTCTAAACTGGTTACTTCCTATGCCTGAAGCATAACAATTCTCTTGCGGCTTCCTTCCCATTGCCTTAGACAAGTGGTTCCCAACCTATGGGCTCACATTCTGCTCTCTCCCCTCCCTTTCCTCCTTATCCATTATTGTTTTCTCTGCTGTCCTTATCCCCTGACTCTGAGGGCAGTAGGCAGATGGGTGATGCTGTATAAATGTGAGTGAGGGGAAGAGGGTGAATATGTCTACAGTAGTTCAGGCTCCCAAATCCATAAATACACTACCCATCTTCTTTTAAGGCAGTGGAGGGCAAACACCACCTCACTGAGAAGATCAATTTACTCTTAAATTACTGTCATCTACTCTGTATGCAAAAGTGAATGTTCTTTTTTTCCCCAGGAAGATCACTATAGCCACTTGGGGGTATTAAACAATGCTATCTCTTCAGCTCTGGCTTAAATTAATGAAATCAGTGTCTCTTTGACATTACTTTTTTTCACTGATACAGATTTAATGGAGGGAAGAGATTAGATTCAATGAGTGTTGCATTTAAGAAATAGAATTCATATTTCTCAAATGGAATCCACAAGGCTGGGGAAATTGCTTAGTGGGAAAGGGAAGACTTGAGACTTGAGTTTAAATCCCCAAGACAAAGCCAGGAGCAGGAATTCACATCTGTCACACCAGTATCCTACAGAAAGAGGAAAAAGTGGAAAGGGAAAAGAGTCCCCAGAAGTCTATGGGCCAGCTAGCCTGGGGTATATAACAGTAAATAAGACCCCATCTAAATTGTGTGTGTGTGTGTGTGTGCGCGCACACATTATGAGAGTACCTATGGAGGCCAGAGAGGGCGTAAAGTTTCCTTGAAGTGGAGTTATAGGCGCTTGTGAGTTGTCTGATGTGGGAACTGTCTTAGTGTTTCTATTGCTTCAGTGAAGCACCACAGCCAAAGAGCAAGTTGGGGTGGGGGGATGATTTATTTGGCTTTCACACTTCAGCATTGCTGCTCATCAGTGAAGAAGTCAGGACAGGAACTCAAACAAGGCAGGAACCTGAGACAGGAGCTCATGCAGAGGCCATGGAGGGGAGCTGCTTACTGGCTTGCTCAGCCTGCTTTCTTATAGAATCCAAGACCACCTGCCCAGGGATGGCACCACCCACCATGGGCTGGACACTCCCCCACTGATCACTAATTGAGAAAATGCCTTACAGCTGTATCTCATGGAGGCATTTCCTTAACCAAGGCATCTTCCTCTGATGACTCTAACCTATGTCAAGTCGACACACAAAAACCAGCCAGTACAGGGACCAAACTCAGATCTTCTGGAAGAGCAGCAAGCACTCTTAATCACTGGGCCATCTCTCTACCCTGTCTGAAACAAGGTGGAAGGCAAGGATCAACACCTAGATTGTCTTCTAGCCTCCATATATTCAACATGTCAAGTATGTGCCCAAACTCATACACACACACACACACACACACACACACACACACACACACACGCACGCACGCTCACACACACACACACACACACAAGAAGGAAAAACTAAATCCAAAGGACTTAGTGGCTGAGTATGTATTCAAGATGAGGAAGAGGAATGACTGAAAAGTCAGACATCTTGATGGTTGACTGAAATTTTAAAACAAACAGAGAGAAACTAGAGAAGGTAACTCAGGCCCAATTTAAGCTGCCAGGAGGACATCCGAAGGCCACTCATCAAGCACTCAGAAGTACAGTACAGGAACAGAGGAGCTCAGTAAGGCTAGAGATAAAGATTTGGGGGCCATATGCATTGGGGCAACAGCTGAAGTCATAGATTTGTAACATCACCCAGAAAGTGTGCATACAGTGAGAAGAGAGAATATATAGAGAACACTGGGTAACCCCACTGAGCAGATAAGTTTACAAGATGAAAAAAAAAAATGGAATTGACCCAAAAGGTAGGAGAATAAACAGTTCCCAGGGCTGTCACATTTCAAGAAAATATGAATAATTGAAGGCAAAAGAGCTATTCAGGTTTAGTCACATGCAGATACAATCTACAATCCCAGCACTCAGTGATGTAGGAGGACTGTAAGTTCAAGGCCAGCCTGGGCTACGCAGCAAAGCCTTATCTTTAATTTTTTTCAATAAGAAATTAAAAAGGAGGAAGGCTGACAGCAAAGAATGAAAGAAAAGAGAATGAAAAAAGAATTAGAGGAAAGGGGAAGTGATGACTAATTCTGAAGAAAATGTCAGATAAAATTTTAGTAAGGAGGAAACCATGCATGGCTGTAAGGTGAGTGGTTTTAGCTGGACCCGCCCTGCTCTTCCTGTTGTAGACACTACTCCCTATCAATTGATGCGATTAACTCAATGTAATTGGTCATTGGCCTCCTCCCCAATAACCCTGCCCTCCATTCCTTTAGCCGTT